CACAAGCGAGAGCCAGGGACTGAATACTGACACTCTGGTAGTTTCCTCCGCATTTCATGTGCTCCTGGATAATTTGACCTTGATGTAAGAACCAGGGTTGCTTCTGCAGTCTGTGAGAGAATGGCACAGAGGGTTTGAGACTCTAATATTGACACAGATGTCAAAGTTTTGTGTTATAAGTTCCCATACAATTGCCTCTTTTTCCAGTTTTCCTCTCCAAGCTTGTATCAAGAGCGGCCTGAAGCTGATCTTACTCGTAGGCACTGTTGCATTATCTGCTGATAATGAAGCCAGATGATCCTTGAATCTCCCTGAAAACTTACATGTTATACATTTCCCTCCACAAACACCTGCTTAAAACCTATCCATTTGTTTGACCCTGAATTTGCTATATCTTGTAGACAGAGACTGCACTTTCATTTCCCGGCCACCCAGACCAAATAATCACACAAAAACTATATTAATTATAACACCGTTTGATATACAGCTCAGGTGTGTTTTTAGGTACCTCTTACAACTTAAATTAACCCATAATTCTTGTCTATGTTTAGCGACATGGCTTGGTACCTTTTCTCAGTGCAGCATTCTCATCTTGCTTCCTCTGTGTCTGGTTGGTGACTGCAGACTGAGCCTTTCCTCTTCCCAGAATTCTCCTAGTCTTGTTACTCTGCCTATACTTCCTGCCTGGCTACTGGCCAATCCATGTTTTATTAAACAAATACAAGTGACAATCTTTACAGGGTACAAGAGTATTGTCCCACAGCAATAGCTGTTACTTTTTCCTTTCTCAAACTGAAAACAAAGATTGATTTTGAGGTCCAATACTCTATATGTTCTTCTAACTCACCTCCTAGCATACTGCATAGACTCACACAAAAGAGAATACATTTTCTCTAGAAAACTGTACCATCACATTACCAAAATGTCTTATTCATCAGCAGTTTTGGTTGACTCACACTGTTTAATACAAATCCTCTCTGTCTTTTAAAAGAAAAAAAGAGTTCATAGAATTCTTTCTACTTTAACAGGAAAATAAACCTGCAAAGTCAAGATATAGTATAATTTTCACGATTGTATTTATTTATATGTTTATAAAATGAGAAATGCATTGCCATGTCTTTCAAGTGATATAATGATAGTTTACGACTGTATCTTAGAGATTGACACCAAGAGCTACCCAATAAATAGTAGTGCAATAGTATAGTTGCGTGTGTGTGTATGAATGCATGTGTGTGCATGTGTGTGTATCTGTGTGTGTATGTAGGTAAGAAATCATTATTGGCTGTCCTTCCAGTTGCCTATTTTTAAGACAAGCTCCATTGCAGAACCTAGAGCCCACTGGCCCAGACAGAGTTGTTTACCATAGAGGCCCAGGGGTCCAGAAGTCCAGGGGTCCACTTGTTTCTGCTTCCATAGTGCTTAGGTCGTAAACTCTTGCTCGTGAGCAGCTTTTTATGTGGTTCCTTAAAGATCAAGTTCAGACCCTCAAATACTTTACACAGCAATGCTTCTTCTCTGCCCTGTAACCTGATTTGTATTTACCTTTTTTGTTTTTTCAAGACAGGGTTTCTCTGTAACTTTGGAGACCTGTCTTAGAACTAGCTCTTGTTAGACCAGGCTGGCAACAAACTCTCAGAGATCTGCCTGCCTCTGTCTCCCGAGTGCTGAGATTAAAGGACATCACCAAGGACTAGCTTTGGAGGTTATCTTGACGGCCTTTTTACTCTCCCCCACATCTTCTTTCATTGTTTAAAAGTCTATGGCCTTCTGGCCTTTGTACAACCGGTCATGGTTATGTTTTCCCCACCCTAGAATGGCATCTCAGTGGGTGTAAGGTAGAACAGTCTTCTTTAGAGCACTGACTCAAAACTGTACCTCAAAACCTTAGTTTCTCAGATATTGACAATGTAATGAATCTATTTAAAATGAAGACTAAAAATTTAATGGACATTCTTATTCCTGCTGAAAAACAAACAGATATCTTAACACTGAACCTCCATATTTTCTAAAATAAACCTAAAGCTGAACAGACGGGACCGATTCACTTAGCACAATGTTTCTTCCGCCTTCATTTCCTCCCACTCATTAAACTGCCTCACCCACACGATTCTGTGCCCTGAATGGAGTTCATGATCCTGTCTCTTTTCAAGATGATCTCTCGTTTTCATCCCCAGTGTAACTTTCCGATGTGACTTACTTTTTATTCTCCCACCAATTTCAATGTAATCAGTGGTAACCGTGTTTTATAAAGAACACGGTGACAGTGGTGAAAAGCTCAAGAAGTCCTTGTCAAGGCTATGGTTGCAAATGAAAGTTAGCTCTTTTCAGATTACACACTGAAGGTAGTTATATTCAAAGCAGATAACCCAATCTTTTGTTTAAGGAATGAAAAGTGGATAAACAAACACTGGCCTGTCCACTGCTATTGTCTGTCTACAAGGTAGAAGAGATGACTCACTCTTACTCAGTGCTGCAAAACCAGTATACTAGAAAAAGTTGTTCCGGGAAACTTCTTCTGTTAGACAGTAAAGCCTTCGGTGCTCACCTCCCCTAACCTAATACATTCAGAATATGACCTGCTGTCTTGGAAACAAGATCGAGATTATTGCTATCTGATATATTAGAGTATGGCAGCCTAGAATCAGAACATTAGACTCAATTGTTGCTTACTTGAAGGGAAATATGCTCATGTTTGTAGAAGTCTTCATAAAATGTTTAAAATACAACTTATATCTTAATATTCCAGTGGATAAAAGAATGAGGACTATACTGACCATTACATTTATGTCAAGTCAGCACATTGATAACTAACTCTTTCCCCTAAATGGATGAATGAATGAATGAATGAATGAATGGATGGACTTGATTGAGAAATGTCTTGATTTACTAACTTTTATACCATTTACTTTTTAGAATTATAAATCTAGAAATTAAATGTGAGATTGCATTTGCTTTGTTGTGCTATTTGTTTGTGACAGTTATCTCAGTCATAATTCTTCTTGATATTTTTGTTCTTTTGAAATAATAGTTAATGGGTACCTACAGAAATAAAATGTGGTCAATGCATACTTTAAAGTATAGTTCATTTCACTGTTTTCATATTACCACAGAAAGCTATAAACACCTAACTGGAAGATCATGACAAATCCTGTGCTGTCAAGAGGTACACTCCCATGGAGACAGCTTGTTGTCATTTAATAAGGGATTTGAGTAGCTTTAGATTTGATGAAAGTCAACTTTCGATCTGGCATTCATACTCCTGGGCCCTGTGGGCACCAGTCATGCACATAGTACCTGTACATATAAGCACTCACACATGCACATAAAATAAATCTTCCCCAAAATAGCATCACTCATCGTGATAGTCTCTCTTGACCTGAGAGACTAAAATCTCCCCCATCTCACACCCTGCCTCACACGAGCTAATGTGTTGGCAAGTGAGTTTCCACATTCATGACCTGGTGTGTAGTCAGGCTAAGCAACAGTGAGGCATTCTTTGACAACGTAGCAGTCTAAAATATATTAAGTGCAAATTCATCAGGAAGCTGCGAAGTCCAGAAGAAATAATATTTTTGAAATAGTAGTTAATGGATACCTATAGTACTAAAACAGCTGTCTCGTTTGACTTTCATATCAACTTCCTGGATTAATTGTGCGTATAAAATGGACAGAATGGGGGTAAGGATTAGTAATGTGCGCAGCAGCTGCGTTGGAAATGTGCCTTATCCATATTTCATAAACCTATGCAGGAGAGCAGAGGAGAAGCATGAACGAAGCGAACTATGAAAGGATGTTCCAAAGTAACAAAAGTGAGGAGGCCTACACAAATATGATCTAATTAATAAGGAATAATGTTGTTATGATAACAAAATAAGGAACAATAAGGAAATGAGATTCTATTTCCAGAACTCATATAGGCAAGTATCACCCATTTTCGTCATATATGTGTGATGACTGAAGGGTAGGTAGGAATTATTTCTTTGGATTGCTAAAGAGAAAGGAATATGGCATCTTCTAAAAAACATGGATAAGTACAAAGAAGACTAGGCTCCAACGTTAGCATGCTACTGACACACAGACAGCTTTGAGAACATCAGCATGTTTAGCTATAAATGATCTCTCGTGGTGTCTCTAGCTATTCTGATTTTATGACTCTCAAGTCTTCTGCCTATTAAAAGGCAAGTATATGTCAAATTAGTGAAATAAACAAAATTCCTTCATATGCTATTTTAGAAGGCCATTGTTAGCAGCTTGGTGGCGCATGCCTTTAATCCCAGCACTGGGGAGTGGAGACAGTGGCGGGCGGAGCTCTGTGATTTTGAAGTCAGTCTGGTCTACAAGAGATAGTTTCCAGGACAGACTCCAAAGCTACAGTGAAACCCTGTCTAAAAAACAAACAAACAAAAAGCAGTTATTGTTTTACTTGATTGAAACTAGCTGCAATAATCTTTTATGAAGTAAATTATCTTTGCCCTTACAACTTTGTGAAAACACTCAGAAGAAAGTAGAGGGCTTGGGAATCCAAATAATCACAGAGACACTGAAAATTGCAAGATAGTACAATGTAAAATGGGGAAGGAAGACAAACATCTCCAACAAATGTATATTGCATTTCAGACAAGCAACACAGTTACAATGATCAACTATTAAATAAACAACCTTATATTTAATAAGTTGGATTGAAAATGAGTGTGCAAAGAGTTCTTCTAGGAGCAAAGCTAAAATGTCAGCTTGCATAAAATAAGAGTTTGCCCTGAGTTAAATATTCCCCTGAAATGTTGCAGACATTACGATTATAAAAAACTAATTAACAAAGAAAATTTTTCACCAATTTTATTTGTGATCAACTTTTGAAATATGGGTGAAATTTTAATTTTACTATGCTATAATACCAAAGTGTATGTGAACTCGGTTATTCAAATAGAGCTTATGTAGTTTACTTCTGGCCTTTATTTTCTTATTTGACAGTAAAATACAATGTTTTGTTTACTTGATTGTAGACCAAAGGTTCTCAAACCATGACAGCCTCTGGAACCCAGAAAAAAGTCAAGAGAACACTGCCAAACCCCCCTCCCGAGGAGGCATCTACGGGAACACAGTCTGCTTACAGTACAATGGGCACTGCGTCCAGGAGAAGAATGTGCAGAACTAACACCATGGCTCGAGCCAAGATTCTCCAGGACATAGACCGAGAGCTCGACCTCGTAGAAAGGGAATCTGCCAAGCTTAGAAAGAAGCAAGCAGAACTTGACGAAGAAGAAAAGGAGATTGATGCCAAGCTACGGTATTTAGAGATGGGGATTAACAGGAGAAAAGAAGCATTGCTGAAGGAGCGAGAAAAGAGAGAGCGTGCCTACCTGCAGGGGGTAGCCGAGGACCGGGATTACATGTCGGACAGTGAGGTCAGCAGCACCAGACCAAGCCGAATAGAAAGTCAACACGGCATCGAGCGGCCGAGGACAGCTCCGCAAACTGAGTTCAGCCAGTTCATACCACCCCAAACCCAAACGGAAGCTCAACTGGTTCCTCCAACGAGTCCTTACACACAATACCAGTACTCCTCGCCGGCTCTTCCCACCCAAGCACCCACCCCGTATACTCAGCAATCTCATTTTCAACAGCAGACCCTGTACCATCAGCAAGTCTCACCTTATCAGACTCAACCCACCTTCCAAGCGGTGGCAACCATGTCCTTCACACCCCAAGCTCAGCCCACTCCAAGCCCACAACCGTCTTATCAGTTGCCGTCCCAGATGATGGTGATACAGCAGAAACCTCGGCAAACGACATTGTATTTGGAACCCAAGATAACGTCCAACTATGAAGTGATTCGCAACCAGCCCCTGATGATCGCTCCTGTTTCGACTGATAATACGTACGCTGTTTCCCACCTCGGGAGTAAGTACAATAGCTTAGATTTGAGAATAGGGCTGGAAGAAAGAAGCAGCATCGTGAGCAGCCCAATATCAAGCATTTCTGCAGACTCTTTCTATGCAGATATGGACCACCACACTTCAAGGAATTACGTCCTAATCGATGACATTGGGGAAATTACCAAAGGAACAGCGGCACTAAGCACAGCGTTTAGCCTCCACGAGAAAGATCTGTCCAAAACGGACCGTCTCCTTAGAACCACCGAGACCCGCAGGTCTCAGGAAGTGACCGATTTCCTGGCGCCTTTGCAGACTTCCTCCAGACTCCACAGCTATGTGAAGGCAGAGGAGGACCCGATGGAGGATCCTTACGAGTTAAAGCTTCTGAAACACCAGATTAAGCAAGAATTCCGCAGAGGCACCGAGAGCCTCGACCACCTTGCTGGTCTTTCACATTATTACCACGCCGATACTAGCTATAGACATTTCCCCAAGTCTGAAAAGTATAGCATCAGTAGACTCACCCTTGAAAAGCAAGCAGCCAAACAATTACCAGCAGCCATACTCTACCAAAAGCAGTCGAAGCATAAGAAATCGTTAATTGACCCTAAAATGTCAAAGTTTTCACCTATTCAAGAAAGCAGAGATCTTGAACCCGACTATCCAAGTTATATGAGTTCTAGCACTTCATCTATTGGTGGTATTTCTTCTAGGGCAAGGCTTCTTCAAGATGATATCACATTTGGTCTCAGAAAAAATATTACAGATCAACAAAAATTCATGGGCTCATCACTTGGGTCAGGACTGGGCACATTAGGAAACACCATCAGGTCAGCTCTACAAGATGAAGCAGATAAACCATACAGCAGCGGAAGCAGGTCCAGGCCTTCCTCGAGACCTTCTTCTGTCTATGGGCTTGATTTATCGATTAAGAGGGATTCTTCCAGCTCATCGTTAAGACTGAAAGCTCAAGAGGCCGAAGCTCTCGACGTCTCCTTTGGCCACTCGTCATCTTCTTCCAGAACTAAGCCCACCAGTTTACCCATCAGCCAGAGCCGAGGAAGAATACCAATTGTGGCTCAGAACTCGGAGGAAGAAAGTCCACTCAGTCCTGTTGGCCAGCCAATGGGAATGGCCAGGGCTGCCGCTGGACCGCTGCCTCCGATATCTGCGGACACCAGGGATCAGTTTGGATCGAGCCATTCACTGCCCGAAGTTCAGCAACACATGAGAGAAGAGTCACGGACGAGAGGGTATGACCGTGACATAGCGTTCATCATGGATGATTTCCAACACGCTATGTCTGACAGCGAAGGTAAATGGGGCCTCCGCCTACCCTGTTACTCTCCAAACTCCAGCGTGTACCTCTCTGCATGTTTAATTTTCTTTCTTCAAAAGTGTAGTCCATCTTTCTTGGTGCAACTCGTGCATGTTTATTTCAGTTTTATTTCCTGTATGTGTACTTCTCGTGTGTAGACTTGGTGGCATGGTTCTCTTTGATTATTTTAAGTTTCTTGTCTTCTTCTGTTTCATGAGTGTTGGCTCGATTTGTGTTGTGTCTGATTTTTTTAAAACGAGTATTACATAATTATATCAATAAAATATGGTCATCCTTAAAAAATACATAACTGGGAAGATTTGCATTGTATGGTTCTTTGCACTTTAAAACTATATTTTGACGTATTTAATAAATTTTAATAAACTCACTAAGAATTAGAGCCATTGAGTAATATTTGGTTCCACTTTGTAATGAGATGAGTGTTTGAACATCAGACGTTATGATCCTCTTGCCGAGAGCTTTTGCAACTACTTGATGTTAGCGTAACACAAAATTTTATCATTCTCATTGAATAGATGCGTTTCATCTTCCTTTATTATGAAGATTATTGCTGACAAATTTGTCCATTTACTATTATGCATTAGAAAGTTTAACTCTAATCATCATATTAAAAATAATTTTAGTATGAAATTTTTATATAAAAGTTCTATTTAAAACTGAAAAAATATTACACTGTTTTGCAGATGTAACTGTCTAGAGTCTAGGCCTTCCTGTTGTGCCTGGGCATCTAATCCTTCCTGCAACCCTTTGGCATTTCATTGCTTTTCCTTTTTGCCCAAAGGCGTCTTGCTACTTTTTTGGTTGAACAAGTACATATGATACTAGAGGTGTTTTAATTTGGAAATTCTTATAGAAATATAGAGATTTTAAATTATTATGTAAAACCTATAATGTTAGATAAATAATTTGACTTATTTATCTAACATTTTTATTAAGTTTTTTGTTAAAGATAGATCCTATTCTGTAGCTCACACAGACCTGGAACTCACTATTCAGGTCACACTAGCTGAATTGATGGTGATCCCCCAATTTCAGGCCCAGAAATGCTTGTATCAAAGACATGAGCCACTGCACCCATCTTGTATATTGGTTTATGTTTGAATAGATATGGGGCTGAAGCCCTAGAAATAAACCATGTCTAAACAAATGCAAATATCTCTTCATTTGGATACTAAAAAGTACTAAAATGATATGAATATTTGTAATCAGAGGTTTCTCTCCTCCCCACCGGTTCCTGACCCAGAGGCTTAATATTATTTATAAATGTTTGGCTGGTGGAACACTTACAATTAAATTAAACAATATCTTTTATCTATGCTTTGCCACACAATTCATAGCTGGTAGCTCATATTCTACATGTCTTGCTCCCTCAGAGGCAGGCTGACTGGCATCTCCAGACTCCATCTTTCCTCCCCTTTATCTCTGTCTGGATTTCCTGCCTGGCTCTATTCTGCCTTGCCATAGGCCAAAGCAGCTTTGTTCATCAACCAATGAGAGCAACATATATTCAGAGTGTATAGAAAGACATCCCACAGCAAATATTCTCCCATTTGAATCTTTCTCAGTAAAAACTCACATCAGAACATGTTTTTATGAAGAAATTTTTTTATTCTGATGTAGACACAGATTTGATTTTAGAGACTGTTGGCTGAACTGAAGGGGGCGGGGGTGGTCTGTGGGCCTGAGGTAAAAACCATTTATGTTGCTTATAAAGTTCTGATCACCAAGTTTCTTTCAAACCTGGTTTTTCTCATTACAGGTTGATTGGTTGACCATTTTTATTGACAATTTATTATTTAAGTAAAACATTTCTGTCTGTCCTAGGCCCGTATTTGAAATAACCCAATTATTCCCTGACATTATGACATTATGTGGAAACAGTTACTGTTTTAGTCTAGTACACATCTTATTCTCATTGTACACAAGTAGAATGACTGAGGAAAGGAATGAGAAGCCATCGATGGTCTTATCTATAAAAATAAAACAAACTCTCTTGGAATGATGGAGCAACCCAATACCTAAAGGATATGTACACAAAGGTGACGATTATCTGGAAAGAATTTGGCAAATAGTATTATTCCTCAGAAATGTGGTAGATTTGTAACTTGATGTTGGACATGTGAATGTTTGTAACTAGCCCAAAATGTGACATTTATTTGATTCCATACGTATTAAATTACCTAAGTATTTTTATTTCTAAATTTTGTTTATAGAAGTAATCACTGACTGAACTTTTGTTTGATGATAACATGATAAGACAGTACACATCCTATACAGTTTTGAGGCAAATAAAGATTGTGCCAAAGCAAAAGAAAATGTACAATTGGATGGAAATTTGAGAACTAAAATATATTTTAAAATGAAGCAGACAAAATTCATTCATAAAGACTATCGATGCATAACTAGGGGAAAGGCTATAACAAATTGAACTTCATTAGTAACTTTGTTATTGCATTATACTGGGTATCTTTAGAATACGTGCAAAGTAAAATGTAAAATGGTTTTCTTTTTTGTATATCATGCAAATACTTGAAGTTTTTGTAGTGATAGGAAAACAAATAAAATTACCTGAATCAGCATGGAACATACATTTTACATTTTCTAAGATTCATTTGTAATATAGTTCCACCGCAGCAGATCAAACGCTAGCAATTAGGAGCAGCTGACTCAGCATGCCTGGTGCTCCATGAGGAAGACAGACGTGATACAGGAGCAGAGTCACTCTGTCTGGTAGCTTAGATTGAGTCTATAGTCCTGTAAAAGGCGGCAGCTACCTTTCTTGCTCAGTTACGTAGGACACTGTTATTAGAAATAACAAAAATCAAAATAGGTTATCAGAATTGGAGATAAACTGATGAAAAATTAGATCAGGTTGAGGTTCTGTCATATTTGTAAAATCCAGAGACCCCTAAAACACATTTAAACAGTTGTATTTAAAATGCAATTAGGGAAGTTACATATTCAAACGGAAGCCTGTATTATTCAGGATAACCACGTGTTGAAAGCATGTTTAAATTTACTTTATTTTCTATTTTATTTTATTTATTTTTGGTTTTTCGAGTTAGGGCTTCTCTGTGTGACAGTCCTAGCTGTCCTAGAATTAGCTCTTATAGACTCGGCTAGTCTCAAACTCACAGAGTTCCACCTTACTCTGCCTCCCGAGTGCTGGGATTAAAGGCATGTACCACCATCACTGCCCATACTTTATTTAGGAAAAATCAAACCCTTAAAACTGAATAATAAATATATTTAATACCTATACAAAATTATTTTCTCCTAAATGAAGTGAACTATAGTCTAGTAAGTTCACTGACTGATGACTATCTCGTTTATTGTTTTATTTATCAAGCATTTGTTATACTGAATTTTGTAAATTTTGTAATTTTGTAAATTTATTCACTCAGCTTCACATTACCACTGTGGTTTAGAACAATAATTATCAAGTAGATTATGAAAAGAATATTGGATATCTATAAAAAGGTACAAAGAGAAGTTATTTGTCTAAAACTATCCTAACAATGATATTTAACTTCTTTAGATGATGACAAATAATTCTACGTTTCACTCATTCTGTGATACTTTATTAAACACTATGCTCCAATAAGTTGGAGGAAAAAAATGAAAGAGGAGAAAATAACAAAAGAATTATAAATTTCCTCTTCAAGCAGCTGCCAGTGTAGTGGGAAAATCAGCCAAGAGTATATGTAGCCACAACCCAGGCACCAACTCTAAAATTGGTGGAACTATGCTATGCCACTCCCCATTCCTTGTGTACTTGGGAGAGGTGGTGTGCAAGGCTGCAGTGTGCAGTTCTACCAGCCAATGGACGCTGGAAATGGCCGTCCCTACAGAGAGTTTTAAGGATAAAATAAACACAGAAAGCCACCTTCAACAACATGGACAAGAGAGCTCAATCTGTGGCATTTTAGAAGCAGCCATTTAAAGAAAATAATGTTGAAAGCATCATGTACCAGGCTGAGCAAAGGGAACGGGCCATTTCATTGTCACTTGAGTAGCAGTAATACATTGTTTCCAAAGGCTTTTAATTGCTGAGGGGAGCAAGAATATAGCCAAGGAATGCCAAGAAGTAATATATGCCTATTCAGTGTTAGCCGTCCAGTACAACTGTCACTTTGCAATATGCTAAAGAAACTTGGAAAGTTCTGATTTAACTAGGTGAAATTTTTAAATTTATATTTGAATGCTTTAAATGTGATTAAAATTTCAAAATATACTATCAAGTTTTATCACAGTGGTAAGTTAGTAAAAAGTAGTTGTCAGATTTCTAAGTCAGTGCTAAAATTCAGATAATCATAATTTTATTTATATTAAAGATTCTCATGTAGATACGTATTTTAGATATATTTTTTATTATTAAGCTCTAAACTTCTTGTAGTACACATGTTTCTCACAATAACACATAGAGTATCTTAGCTTTAAATGCTTTTGTTTACTTATAATTATCATAGAAATGTCATAATTTTCAAAAATATATTCACTTAGTGTTGTAGCCAGAAGCCTACTGCTTGACTTACACAAAAGTGGAAAGTTAAGAGACACTTGCATATGCTCACAGTGCATTTCCTGTTGATGTCTGGTCATGCATGGTGGGTTTCAGGGTAAGTTATCTATGTAAGGAACTGATGGACTTCAGTGGAATGAAATTATCCTCATATACTTTTGTTTTTTTACTGTCATCGAAATTTCATTTATACTGACTTATAAATGTAACTTTGTATTGTTTTATTTACTATGAGATGCTGTGCCTACGTATGCCTCTTTTTCTTTAGATTGTTCTGTTTTCCGGAACTTTGTAGATGCTCTTGGAAACGGGTCTAGTTCTGACACAGGTTATGTCTGAGCTGCATGCTGTGCTCCGCAAGCCCAGTGCATGCTAATGCTGCAGACACTTGCTTCCCTCTATCACCTGTATCAGTTGCAGTCGCAATGTTTGATGTTTCCTTGGTCCCCAAAGCCTACCACTTGCGTCGGGAGGAAACGGATTGGTTTGATAAACCCAGGGAGTCTCGCTTGGAAAATAGCCATGGTCTGGACCGGAAATTGCCAGAAAGATTGGTTCACTCTAGACCCCTCAGTCAACATCAAGAGCAGGTAAGTGAGCAGTTTTACAGTCTCCTGGAATTGTTAACAACAAGAGTCAAAAATCCCAAAATAGGCGAGTCTGTTAACCAAAATATCAGTCAAGTTCAAGAGTGTTTCCTTTTGGTAATTTAATGAAAATAGTACTTTGTTGTATCAGTTTGTTGTACATTGTGATGTGTGTGTTTCCACCAGACAACTTAAATGATTCATTCATGCAATAGATGATTATTTTATGGATATACCATCTCTGGTAATGAATGAAAAGAAAATACATGGAGCTACTTAAAGAGATTGCACGAACATTGTGCAATATACATATGTGTAATAAAAAATATTGTAAAGATTCTCTTTTCTTGTTTTTAACATGTTGTTGTTTAGGACAATATTGACTAAATCTTTATATACTTTTGGGTCTTTTACATCTTAATATATCATTATATTGAATTGTATTTTTTGTTACTCTTAACATTGTATTTATACTTATGCTTTGATTCTCATCATAAAGATCTGGCTAGGAATGTGCACAATAATGAAACCAATATAGTTATCATTTATTGCCCTTCTGGGTCTCTGTAGCTTAGTGCACCCTACAAGCCTGGGCAAAGTCAATGGAATGTTAAATATGTTAAGAAAATCCTAACAGCTGCTATAGAAACCACAAATCTCAATTCCCCTTGCAATCAAACACTCTTCTATGAATACTAAAGAGGTCTTTAACTAAATTGTTACATAATGTTGTCTGAGAGTACATGGAGGTAATCTGTATCTATTCCGATGAATTTTAAAATCTGTTCTATTCTATTTAGAAAGACAAAATACATGTATTGCAAATAACATTTTGTTTTTAGTTTTCTGATACTGACATTTGTAGATGAGTAGCTTTGAGGACACAGTACCATTTTAAATATGTTCTTACAGACTAGTGTAATGTAAGAAAATAAAGAAGAGGCTTATTGAAGATCATTTCATAAAATTCTAGCTAGTTCAACAAAAAGAAGGATGAAGATCCATGTTAAATGAACATAACAATCATAATGCAATTTATTGCTGATAGAAGTCTTACATTTGCAAAAATGAATTTGAATTAGTATCAATTAAACTATAAAACATTATGTAATGATGAAATCATAAAGTTATAAGCTACTGTAAAGTGAACAGCCATACGAGTCCCCCAATAGCTGAGAAAGAGAGCATGGCTTGCCACAGAAACCTGCATGCCCCTTGTGAATCACAGCCTCTCCTTCAACAAGTAGCAGACATATTAATTTTTATGTTAATAATTTCTTTGCTTTTCTTTATACATTTTCTAAGTGGATTCTATATAGGAGATAACATATGTCTTAAATATATAGCATTCAAAGTTTAATTACATGTTAAGTTCATGCTTTTCTGCGTTGATATTTGTCTTCAAATACTGTTTTCTCCTTTAAATCAAGAACTTTATTTTGGTCTAGAAGCATTCTCATTTTATTTTCTTCTTTGCATGTCTGGTAATAAAAGGTAATACTGAGCTCTTGATACCAATAAACAAAGATGCTATTACTTGAAACATACACAACAAGAATTTATTCTCACAAAATGCTCTGGGGGAAAGAGGATAAAATCCAACTGACTAATTCAAACATGAATTTGTCTTCTATAAAAATTTGTATATAAAACCCTACATACATGCAGTACTATTTCTGTAAAAAAAAAAAGTATTAGATTTATAATCATATTAACTACAAATTCACCAATGCAGCATTTGTTTCCTTTCAAATATGTACATTTTAATATTTGTACTATTCAAGGGAAATCTAAATGTTCTTTGTAAAACAAACAGATCATGCAATCCTATTTATTTTTAAGGTTTTTCTATAGAAAGAGGATTGATATTCTTTGATGATGGTTGTTAAAATAAGTCACCATTTGTTGACTCTAACAATATGCCCCACTGTCCCAGTAAAGTTCATGTCATTGGCAAACCCTGTGGAACTCCTGCCTTAGGTATATTAACCTCTTCTGAAGGGACCATACTTTTTCTTTCATTTGTAGGTAAACACTCTCTTTTCTTTCCCTAGACTCCAGTCACTTTGCTAAGCATACTGTTCATTCAGATTGTCATCAATAAGCCCCTTCATGCTATAGGACATCTATGAAACTACCAGTACTATCTTGCTACAAAGCTGGAGAAAGTCTCTTTTCCTAATGCTTTAGTATAACCATATCTTATGTCTTTGATTATGATACAACACAAGAGCTGTCTGCCCTACATACCCTGACATGTAGGTGTGCAGTGTCCAGTACAGTGTGGGGAAACAGGCAGACATCTGTTCTCTATAGCAAGCATTTATGCTATTCAAAGTGGACGTGAAAATGCAAATTATACTAATGCAAATTTAATTACTTCATAAATATGTAGACTCATCCCATAAAAATATTTGTGGTTAGGAAAGAACAATGCATTTTCTGGTATCTATGCAGGTGGCAGTCTTGATGATGTACAATCATCAGAAGATGGTGGTGGCAGAGTCCAGCACTTTGGTGTATCACTACCCTCTGGTTTCCCTGGGCATGCTCTTGATAATATTAGTACATGAACAACAAACAGCTGCCCAGTAAGCCTATATTTCAGAGGCTCTGTCAATATTTGCCTGCAATTGTGATTCTGCTCTCTATTGACTCGTATATAACAATCATGACTATAAAATTTAATATTTTACTAAGTGAACTCATGATGCTGGTTGCAAAGTCTTAGAATTTGTGGAATTGTGTGGAGATATTCTAAGGAAACAACCATGGAAATGAAGATGTACAGTATCTCAACATCACAGATACCAGTTAAAATGTGATAATAATTCACTGATAAAACTCTCATGAACACACCAAAACCCTGCCTGTTCTTGAGAACTGCAGTTTATGCATTGTGAAATTTTATCTAGAGAATAAACATAGAAAACAGAAAGAAACCCTAAATGCAAAAGTGTCGCCTTAGTTTATTTTTTGAATAAATGCCTTAAATTGTCATTAAATCTTTATAAAGTCATAAAATCACCAAAATAAGGTGGCATACACTAATTTTAAGGAATAATCTCAACAGCAGGGTACCCAAGAGGAGTCCCTGTGAGTACCCAGCATTGACAATGTAGTAGAAACCAGAGGCCTCAATCGACTCTTTGCAATGAACACTTGCGAGTAGAGATAAACGGACAAAGGGACTTTATTGTGACTCACTGTGTCACAGTACAGCTTCCATGTAGAGATTTTTTTCTTTTTCTCTATTTTTCTCCTTTTCCTTTTACTTTTTTTTTTATTTTGTTGGGGATTCAGGAGCTGAGGGTGGATGTGAAAGGATGGGTAATGAACGGGATCAAAATAGATGATGTAACAGACACACAGAATAAATTTAAAAACAAACAGTTAAACCTAAAAACATTTAAAAGGAAAGTCCAGCCGTGTGATGGTTTGGGAACCACAGACACAACAGCAGCTTCAGTGGTGCCCCTGCTTCAGGAGGGGCTCCTGTAGTAACAAGAAATCTCCCCACCCGTCACATAACTTTCGAATAGAAGGACAGAACCAGGGAGCATTTGAATGAACAAAGTCTTTATTCATTTCAACAGAACTATTCTGAGCATGGATGTAATAGATCTTCTCAGTAAAATTTTCACAATAAATTCCAGCACCTTAAATATGTCACAGACCCAGGTATGGTGTCAGGGATCTGACGGGAAGGGAGGGATAGTCTTTGAGATTTCTCCACTAGTTTCATTTAATTACTTAAAGATAACAATGCCTTTCTGATGGAGGAAGGTCATTGGTTAATTATAATAAACCAACTGCTTGGCCTCCTAGCTTAGAACATAGGTGGGTGGAGTAAACAGAAGAGAATTCTGGGAGGAAGAGGAAGTGAGCTCAGACTCTGCTCTGCTCCCAGAGAGACCCGACAGTTCTGCTCTCTGGAGCAGAGACGCCATGCTCAGCTCTCCCGGGTAGATGCGATAGCTCTGTGCTCTGAGACACGCGATGAAGCTCCGACCCAAGATGGACATAGGCTAGAATCTTCCCAGTAAGCGCACCTTGGGGTGCTTACACACATTATTAGAAATGGGCTAGTCCAGGTGCGAGAATTAGCCTAGAAGAGGCTAGATAGAAATGAGCCAAGCAGTGTTTAAATGAATACAGTTTGTGTGTTGTTATTTTGGACATAAGCTAGCCATGTGGGCGGCCGGGGTGCTGGGGACGCAGCCCCGCCACTCGTATTTCAACACCTTTCCATTTCCTGACTTTCAAGTGTGACATCAAGAGCTGGAATTTCTCAGATATAAATTATTCATTGTCATCGATAACAAGCACATATCACTGTTGTCTGAAACATCCTTCAAAAACAGATATACATGCTCATTGATTTCCCAAATAAGACAAGTCAGTCCTCGAGAGAGATGGGTTGTAAATATGAAACACCATAGTGAACTCAGAAACTAATGTAAGCAGTATGCAGTGTGAGTGTAAAGTCTTCAGTTGCCATCAGTGAAGAATCATCTGGTATAGTCTCATTGATTTAATTGGTATGCTTTGAATTGAACAAGTGTACTTCTGCGTAATGCATTTCAAGGGTTTTTATAACTTATTTTTACCGGATCCCTTCTATGGCCTAGATTCTGCAAATGAATGCCAAGACGATGCACTACATCTTTCCTCACGCAAGAGTAAAAATAGCCAGAGACTCGAAGGACCACACAGTTTCAGGTAAAGCAAACTGAACTCTCTGGTCATTTCTAATTCTAATGTCATATTGACATACGTATTTATTTTTCGGCTTGAATGACTCATTAAATTTTAGAAAGCAACCATTTATATCTGTTTTATAGCACATTTCCAAAAATAGCAGACTATTCATTTGAATACAAAAAGCATTAATGACATGGTTTGTGCATGAAGAGTCACTCGAGTGGTACAGATCCTATGTTCATTTTCTGCATTCCTAACAGTGCGTGATTTGGCAGTGCTCATAATTACTGCTTCAGGAAGTATCATGGTCACCGCATTATGGTGTGATTTGCTCTCTTGAATGCAATGGCTGCTGAGGATAGAGAAAATAGAGGCTTAGGGATCTTAGGATCAGATTTTTCTGTATTTGTCCAAGGTGAACACTGACAATCGTGCTAAGCCATCAGATTGCTTGTGTCTATGTATAGATCAAAGCTGATAATGGACTTTGTAAGCTTCTTATTTGGAATAATTTTGGACTCAAGAAAATGGCTCAAAAAGCAATGTCTGTTTTTGGCCCAGTTTTCCTAATGTTGACATAAATCTAGCATCAAACAAAGGAAATCAACATGGTCACACATTACTAAGACAGCTGTAAGTCTTACTCAGATTGTAAGTTTCTTCACTAATCAATTATTTTATCTATTGCGTCAAGATCCAATCTAGATCTCACCTTTTATTTCATTGTCATGATTCCTACGTCACTTCCAGCATAATCGTTTTTGTATTTCTTTGTATTTCCTGAGCCAGAAATGCTTAAAATTTATTAAATCTTTACATTAAAAATGAGATTTTCATTATTTGAAGTGCGAGATAAAATAAATTTTCAGGTTGATGAAATATACCCTGGTTATTTCTTCCATTTGTTCTCAATTACTGTGCACTACCTATGTTTCAGGTCCACTCCATATAAACAGAAAATTCTGGTAAATTTTTAAAGACATTGTTGTGGAAGAGTTTGATCGAGTGTGCACACACCTCTTTCACCTTGTTTGTTTCCATGATGACTTGGGAAGGCAATTGTCTCCTCAGCTGCAATTGTGTTGGGGATTTGGAAGCATGGTTGTGCACTGAGGGATGGTGTGCTCTCTGTTGCCACAGATACGCATCACTTAGAAATCTAGCATTATTTTCCTGGTAAAATGGGTATTTTTGCTTGTACCAAAGAAAAATACT